AACAGGGAGGGGGAAGGGTAAGCTGGGACAAAGTGAGAGAGTGGCATGGATATATATACACTACCAAATGTAAAACCGATAGCTAGTGGGAAGCAGCCACATAGCACAGGGAGATCAACTTGGTGCTTTGTGACCACCTAGAGGGGTGGGATAGGGAGGGAGACACAAGAGGGAAGAGATATGGGGATATATGTGTATATATATAGCTGATTCACTTTGTTATAAAGCAGAAACTAACACAACATTGTAAAGCAATTATACTCCAATAAAGATGTTAAAAAAAAAAAGATCAACAAATTTGACTACATAAAAATTAAAAACTTGTGCATGACAAAAGACATCATAAGGAAAGTCAAATGACAAACTGGGAGAAAACCATAACACATTTCACAGATGAAGAAAAAATATCCCTAATATACAAAAAACTTTAACTGAGGAAACAAAAGACCAAAAATCTTATAGAAAATGGGAAAAAGATGTGAGCAGACAATATTAAAAAAGAGATATTAAATGATCTTTAAAAATATGCAAAAATGTTTACCTTCCCTCATCGTAAGACAAATTCAAATTAAAACTACACTGAGATACCCTTTCTCACCCAACTGATTAGAAAAACTTCAAAATACAACATATGTACTCTATTGGTAAGGCTATGGGGCAACTGGCAGTCTTTCACACTCCTGGTAGAATTTAACATTCTCTACAAAACTACATATTTATTTACCTTTCAATCTAGTATATGAACTTCTAGGAATTTACCCTGAGGACACACCTCCAAAATTTCAAGAAAACACATGCAGAAAGTTATCCACTGCAGCATTATTTGTAATCACAAAATACTGCAGACTATTTAAACATCCAAGCATACGAGATTCATTCAATAAACTATATTACAAAATGACCTTCATAACCTCCCAAGGTTTCCCAAAGATTCAAAATGTCTACTTGAATATACAGGCTACATTTGTTTTTTAAAAGTAGATAAATACAAGAAGAGAGTAAACAGAGTCAGCTATACCTCTTGACTGAGAATTAAATAAAAATGAAGGAATAATATCTTTTTACTTTAATTCTTCTAACTGAAATTTATTGCTATTTTGATTATCTCTGACACATTCTCACCAGTTCTCTTCAACACTGTATTGGAAGTCCCAGTCATTTTAATAAGGCAAGAAAAAGAAAGGAAAGGTATTTGGATTGGAAATGAAGTAAAAATGTTTCCATTCATAGATAACATGACTATTTATATGGACAATCCTAAGGAATGCATATAACAACTACTAGAACCAATAAGGGGACTCAGCAAGGATACCGAATTATGGGAGAGTTAAAAAACAAAAAAGAATTTTTTTTTTTTTTTTTGCGGTACG